GGCGCTCCAGGCTCGGCCTCCAGGCCTGAAGGCCGGGCCCTCGCATGGCGCAAGGCTTGGCGCAAGGCGCGACGACCCCTGCCTAGACTTCGCCGTGCTCGCTGCGATCTCGGCGCTGCCGCCGCCAAAGTACTTTACGCCGGCAGCCTATCTTGTTATTTTCTATTTATCTTGTAACCCCTTCCCCCCCCCCTTCTCCCCAGAGCGCCAATCTTGGAAGCCGCCGCACCCTCCGCACTCCCTTGCTCACTTGCGCCCCGGCATTCACCTATACGCCCCGGACTCGGTGGGCCGGAAGGCGGGGCGGGGCGGGGCGGGGCGGGGCGGGGCGCCCGGGAGACCTGAGCCGAGAGTCCCCTTTGACGGATCCACAATACCGTCTTAGGGCGGCGAAGAGGTGAGGTGTCTCGCTGCGCGGTTGAACGCCCGCCCGCGCCGAGTCGCCCCCCGGACCCGGAGCCGACCGGGATGGGACCGTGGGATGGGACCCCGGCTTTAAATCGCTCAACGTCCTCATCCGCGCCACGCCTCGCCACGCCACGCCACGCCACGCCTCGCCCTCCACAGAGCCGCGGCGGGTAGCGGCGTAGCGGCGCGACGCGGCGGCGTATCGCGTATCCCAGGCAGCGGAGGAGCAAGTTTCCGCTCGGGCCCGGTTAGTCGATACAGTGCTCCGCCACTAGAGGGTGTCAGACTAAGCCCCCGGCCCCATGCGGCAGTCGGGGCGCCCCACCGCGGCCCCACCGCGGCCCCACCGCGGCCCGACCTGGAGCCCAGCGGCCTGGCTGGGCGGCGCTAGGCGGCCTGGCTGGCGGGGCAGATGCCACTAACTGCGCGTGTGTTTGCATTCCGAATGCTCGCATTACCGCCGCCCCAGCTGGTGACCCGGCCAGGCAGGCTCTCCGGGCAGGGCGGGCAGGGCCGGCAGGGCTCCACCCTCGCCGGAAGGCCGGAAAAAAGGAACGTAATCGGAGCGCTCCTCCGGCAAATATCGAGATGATCGGGTCGATCAGTGATTCCCGCCTGGCTGCCGCCCCTCCGAGCCCCTCCCGGCCGCCATGCCGCCCCTCGCCGCGAGCTCGCCACAGCCCGGGGGGGCGCATGGCCAGCGCGTCGCGCAGATGTTCCCTATATATTGATCTCGCCTGATTTCATCTTGATTTTTGCCATTTCGGCGACGTATCAAGGCGCCGGCCCGGCGGATTAGAGGCAAGGGATGAGTGGTCCGGGGCGGGGCGGGGCGGGGCGGTGACCCCGGCTGAACACGTTCCCTCTGCACGGCTTCGGCGGGGCCGGCGGGGCCACGCGCCCCACTGAGTGATTGAATTCGCAGCGCAGTTTACCGGTCCCCCCCCGCCTTTTCCTCGAGACGGCACGGCGCTCTCACACGTGCTTCGGCATGCCTCGCCCCTTCGCCATGTTTTGGGCTTTGCTCTGGCCGTGCTTTGGCCGACCCTCCTGCAAGAACACCGTTTGATTCCTCAAGTTCTGCAGGAAAGAGCAACGCCGCGGACTTCCCTCCACTCGTTGGAGGCGGCAAGGCGAGCCCTGGGCAAGCCCCGCCGAGCCCCCTCGCCCGCCTCGCCGCAGCGCGCTCGGCTGGCCGACTGCTCGCCGCCGGAACTCTCCGGGGACTTAGTTTTCGCAAGGACTAAAGGGCGGTGACGGGGGAGGGGAGGGAGGGGGCATCCCGGAATCAGGAAACGCAGCCAGGATCTGTTGAGAGTGCGGTGAATTTTTCATGGCCGCCCGCCCGCGGCCCACACGACGGTCTCGAGGGTGGTGACGACGCAGCGACGCGGCCGAGGATGATGTGGTGGTGGTGGAGGGACAGCCCGGCCCGGACGTCCTCCGCGTCCAAATCTCATAATTCTTGGCGGCGGCCCCCTCTCAAAGGGCTCGCCATACCGGCCATGCCGGCCGTACCAGGGCCGTACCAGGGCCGTACCAGGGCCGTACTCTGCGTCGTCGGCGCGCTCGTGTGTGAGTGAGCGACCTGCCAAAGGGCTGCATCACATATGGCGCCCCCTTGCCCTCTGGCTGCGTCTGGCTGCCTCTGGCTGCCTCTGGCTCTAGCCGCTCGCAGTCGCTGGCCGGCAGCCCCGCTGCCCTGCCGCCACGGTACGTAATACGTCTTTAATGTGAAGGATGCGGTCTGTGGTCCTCGCGCTGACTGGGGCGGGGCTGTTTAATATTCCAGTAGTTGCGGTGCCGCCCCCAGCCCCTCTTCCGGCGCGCGCGGCCCGAGCCCGTCGGGATGACCCTTTCCACACCATCAATACCCAGTTGAAACTCGCGCGTGTGTACAGTGTGCCCTGCACGGCCTGCACAGCCTGCACGTAGTGCCGCGGTACTCACGAGTGCGTGTGGAGTTGGTGGAGGGCGGTGGCCCGCAAATTCCTCGGAGCCGCTTCATCGGGGGCCCGGGGCCTAGGGCCTGGGGCCTGGGGCCTCGGCAAGTTGAGAGCGGGGAGGTCAAACCCGATCAGTCTCCCCGGGAACGGGGGGCTGGCTGAGGCTGAAGTCTCAGTGAGTCTCGCTGTCTCGCTGAGTCGCACTCAGCCTGACTTTCACTGGAAAAGCGCGTACTGCAAGCCGGAGGCCGCTTTCCACAAACCAGAAGAACTCATGCCGATTGCCGCAACCACACTGCAAAAAAAAAAAATCCGTCGTAGTACAGAAAAGGTATGAAACCTCCGTGGTCAGCAAGGATACGGACGGTCAAGGTGAAAGAGAAATAGACCAGATATGTTCCGTACTTTTTCTGTACTTTGTACCAACGCATAGGCCGCTTCGCTTCTCGCAAAGCATACACCTTACACCACATCTCCCGATTACCACAAACCGCTGAACACACACATGCCGGCTGCCACAAACCACATGAAACAGGCGGCCTCCCTAAAACCTCTCTCGCCGATCGCCACAAACCACACGCCATTTAGTGTGCCGTCACTGGAGTTTGCCCGGAGTCTAGACTGGAGCCTCAAGTCTGCCGAGTGCCGTCGAGTCTGATTGGGCGCGAAGTCTGGCTGTGTGTGACGGCACGGATCGGAACCTGACTGGGTCCGGACGGTCCGGGCGCTTCACTCCAGTCGCTCCGGTCTCCGGTAACAGGGTTACATTAGCGCAGGGCCGCCCTGCGACAACGGACGGACGGACGGACGGACAGACCTGTCACTCCCACTCATTTCATTACGTTTATATGGCTGCCGCCATGAAAAATTCGGCGGCGCCGTGCTCCAGAGGGGCGGGCTGCGCCGCACCGATATCGGAAGTGTACCCGCGGTGCGAGTGGCGCCGGCCGCGTGGATTCGTGGATTCGGGCCGCTGCCTTGGGCCGGGCCGCTCCGTATGTAGCGTAATCCAATCGGAGAGTGATTGCTTTGTGATGGAAAATTAATAGGTTGGTGCCACTGGCTGCCACTGGCTGCCACCGGCACACGGCGAATAAACAGCAGGCACCCTTCTTTTTGCCCCCACTGGCTTTTCCGTTTATTTTCTTCTCTTTTTTTGGAATTTTTGGCAGGGTTGGCGGTGGGTCGAGGCGGTGCGGGGGCTTCGCCAGGCTTTGCTCCAGGACCGGGCACTGGAACCGGCCGCTGGAACCGCCCGCCACCAGGCACTTGGCACTGGGCCTAAAAGGGCCTCTCGTGGCGGTTTCCGCTTGTGTGTCAGTCACCGCTCCAGGAGGGGAAAGGGGAGGAGGATAGAATGAAACGACTTGAAAACACTGGGGGGAGATACGCATGCACGTAAGAATGGCCCCGGCGGCAGGTATAATTTCACTTGCTGTGGGACGGGGGACTTGTAGGCGGGGGAATGTGGCACGAGGAAGAATGCCCAGGACCTCATAACGCTGAGGAGGTGGCGGTGGTGTGCGGAACGCAACGCCCCGAAAAAAAAAGAGAAAAAACTTCCGCGCCAAAAACTTTTTCCGGCTGCCGCTTTCATTTCCGGCCGCTCTTTTTGTTGTTTTTGTTGTCATTGCACCGCCTTGGCGGCCGTTGGCGGCGACCCTATGCCTCGCGTGTGTTTCCCCGACGCTTTTATGAATCGCTTTCCCGGCTCGTTTGACAGGCACACCAAGGCAAGCACTTAGCGCGGCGCGTGTGTGGGTGTGTCTGTGTGTGCGCGCGCGAATGTTTGTTTGTGCGAATGTCAAAATGTGTTGGCATATGCGCTTGTGTATGTTTGTGCACGCGAGTGTGTGTGTGCGTGTGTGTGTGAGTAAACATTGCCGCGCTTTTCTTCCGCAGTGTCGCCACACACTCGCAACCAGCTACTTTGGAGACGCACACACTGTGGCGAAAAAAAATTGTAGCAAAGCGGGATATAAATAATAAGCACGCTTGTGTGTGTGTGCGTGTCGACTGAAGTGGGGCAGGAAAAGTGCGTATACGCGGAAGGGCGCGCGACGACTTGCCGCCAGCTGTTTACAGACTGGAGGGGAGGGGGAGGGGGAGGGGGCCGGCGTGCTCACCGCTGTGAAATCCACGTCTGTTGGTTAAAGCTATGAGCCAAAGTGGCTGTGAAGGGCTTGCCGGATGAAGGCACACACGCACACACAGACACAAGGCTGGCGCGTGTTACACCGACTCGCGTATCACGGGCCGCGGGCTATAATCGGATACGATGATTTCGCGTCGTGGTGCGCGGGGCGGGGCGGGGCGGGGCTCGGCAGCGCGGAGGGGGATTAATGTGTATCTTTCTGGCAGGTGATTCATTAGGAGTAAGTGAAAGGGTTAATCCCTTGCCGCGTCGCCGTGCTGCCGGGGGGAATCAGGTGGTCGGGACGTGAAGGGATCGGATGGCGCGAGGAGTCTTTGGCGCCCCGCCGGCCCGAGCCCCGCCCCACGCGGCTGGCGGCGTGGTCGCGGCAGCACCGCGCCGAACTTGCGACGCGAGGTTTCTGTGTTCGCGTCCACCTCAAGCAAAGCTCGGTGTTGGTTCCCTCTGGCCTCCCGTACCAACGCGTGACGACTGTTTGTTTCTGCTTGCAGGTTCTGGGACATCCCCAGCCCCTGGTGGCAGGCCACCACGGTGCTGGTCGGCCTGGGCGCGGGGCTGAGCCTCATGGTGGCCGTCTGGGCGGTGGCCTCCTGCTGCATCAACCACGTGGTGCACAAGGGGTCGGCCCGCATGCTCGGCTCGGCGCAGCTCCTCGCAGGTACGTCCCACCACCCGCAGCCAGCGCAGCAAGCGCATAGCAGCATCCGGCGCAGCCCGCGCAGCCCCAACCCCAATTGGCTTCGTTGCCGAGAGTGTCCCCCCCCCTCCCCTCCGCCAGCGCTCCAGCCTGCCTCCAGCCTGCCTCCAGCGCCCCCAGAGGGGCACAGGTGGGAATTAAACAAGCACTTCCGGATAGAGAGGGGATATAGAAAAAGAGGGCAGAGTGTTATGGCCCCGGCCCGGTGTACTCCGGTGTGGGATCCCACTGCCAGGAGGACGCCTCACTGCCCCGCCAAAAAAGGTAAAAAAAAAAAAAACAAATACTGTGTGGGGAAAGCGGAATAAAAAAAAGTTTTAGGTCGAATCTAAATTATGAATGAGTAAAATTTGCCCTACCGGCTGACCGCGCCTGGCCGGCCCACTGTATGACGACTGTTTCGGAAAGGGCACAGGGGGAGGGCGGCAAGTTGATGCAGCCATCTAGCGTGTCCCCCCCCCCTTTCCCCTTCCACACGCCACTCGACGTTTTTTCCCCTTGTCCGCTTTTTACGACGCCCGGGCCGGGACTCGGTCGGGCCGGTTTCGATGAACAGTCTGAATTAATTTGCCAGCGCCAGCGCGCCAGCCAGCAGACTGGGGGGTCGTTTTCGTCGCCCTGCGTCTCTCTCTCTCTCTCTCCTCGCCCTCGGGGCGTCGCGGCGTGGGTGCGAGAGGGACAGGGCGACGAGGGCGACTCTCGGAATCGGTGCGGCGTGGCGCGTTAGCGAGCCCCTCGTCTGCTTCATCGCTTCATCGACACGCAATCCGCTTCCGGTCCAGCTAGGCCGCTGCCGCGCTGCCGCTGTGAAAAAGCGGCTGTGAATTCACCGAGTGGTGCTAAACTTTACCCTCATGGCGTTTCTCCTCGCCGCCCACGCGTCTCGTCCTGGAAAAAGGGTTAATTCGCCCTTTTTCGGAAGGTGAATGTTACATCCAACAAGAGGTGCATTCAAGCGTTGACGGAGCCAAACGCGGAAATTTTTTTACGGTGTGGCTGCGTAGCTTTCGACAGGGGCGTAGGCTCTGTTCCAGGATACTCCAGGCTGTTCCAGGCAGGCGCGCGCTCGCTGCGACCGCGCCGCCCTGGACCTGATTTGGCCCGCTCCGGCGCCCCGACGCTGCCCGGCAGGTCGTTGGCACCTTTTCATGGCCCCCCGTGTGTATATTATGCATGTGCGCGGTCGAAACTGGTTTTAACGGGGATAAAAATGCCACCTCTGGCGGAGCGGCGTAGCACACGTGGAGTTTGAACCCGCGAGCGGGCGCGGCGCGTCCACGTCGCTCGTTCTGTTTGTCTTTTTCTTCCTCTTTTTCTTCAGTCGGGCCGCCTCTGCCGCACTCCTTGAATGCAACTGAATTTCAAGTAGTCCCGGCGGCATTCCTATCCCGCCCCGCCTCCCCGCGAGTCCGCGAGACCTCCGAGCCCGGCGGCGGCGCGGCGGCCCGGCGGCCCCAGAGCTGAAGCATGTGTCGCCCGGCGTCCCCTCTGCCCCCGTGTCCGAGCAGGCTGTCATTAATCAGAAGGCCTCCCCCTCCACATCCTCTCTACGTCTCCATCTATTTCACCTCGCTCCTCTTACCTGTGCCCTATTTCACCCCCACCCGCCTTTTCCCACACCAGTGCCTGTCCCTGCATGCGAAGCAGCGGCCCGGCCAGGCCCGGCCAGGCCCGCCCTCCCTCAAGGCGCGCGTCGCGGCCAAGGCGGCCAAGGCGGCCAAGGCGGCGCGGGGAAGCGTCGGTTGAATAATAAAAAGGTTTGTTTTTAACGAGTTTGTGTGGCTCATAATTGGCCTTTGTGATGACAAGCTTGCGCGGCGGCGGGACTTTAAGGCTTTAGGCGCGGGCCGAGTGGAATAGCAATGCCGACCGCTGTTGTCGGGACGGCGGCCCCGGAGTCCCGGACGAGGTCCTCTGGACCGGCGGCACGGCTGCCTCGTCTCCTTTTTACCTGCGGCGCTGGTAGGTCAGGGCGGTGGCGGTGGCGGTCTCGAGGCCGAGCCCGGCCGATCCGCGCGTGACCCTCCAGCCAATGAGTGGAAGGGAGAGGGGAATGGGCTGGAACAGCTTACCGGGGATTACGTCCCTCTGACCCTCGGGAGCGAAGCAGCGCCTGCCCTTTAATAACTCTCCACACGAGATTTGCATATTTCCCATCTTGTCATCCCCCGGCCTGCCCTGCCCCGCCTCGTCATGCCTCGTCCACCCGTCGAAGCCGCGTGTCGCCGCCTGTCGCCGCGTGTCGACAGCACGGCGAAAACGCCGCCGTCATCCGCGCGTCTGTCTCCGTCGTGTCCCTCCCACTCGCTCCCACGCACGGGCTAGGGGCCGCGCCGGCTCAAAGGACGGGGCTCTGGCAGGCACACTCGATTCCGAACGGCTCTCTCTCTCTCTCTCTCTCTCTCTCTCTCTCTCTCTCTCTCTCTCTCTCTCTCTCTCTCTCTCGCACTCGGCGGGCCGTCCGGCAGCACGTAGGGGTGCGACAGAGACAGAGCGCGCTGGTGTGCTCCGGCTGCGGATTAAGGCCCGCTAATCCGATTGCCCTGAGGATTGCATTAGCGAATGGCTGACTACGCATCGCGGCGCGCGCATCGCCTGCTCGTGTTTTATCACCGAACGGTGTAGGGTGCGAGGCGCGAGGCGAAGCAACGCGAGGCAGCGAGTTGCTCGGGAAGCCATCAGTGTAGTGGATGAGGCGCGGAGCGGGGTGCCGTGCCGCCACACTGCAGGTCCAGGCGAGGGGATGAAGACGGAGACGACACACTGGCTGCGCGGTATCTGCCACACCGTCCCTCGCACCTCGCACCGCCACAGCGCAAGCCCCAGGCAAATTGCTTGATCCCCGCCGGGCCCCGGCCGAGGCTGCTGGAGGCTGCTGGAGGCTGGCCGGGCCCCGTGCACCCGCTTCATGACTCGTGTTGCGCGACAACACCCTGTGCATAATGTGCAAGGGAGCGGTGCAGCCAGAGAGGCTCTCCCCCCCCCCTCCCCCGACCCCCTTTTGCACCGCCGCCCTGAATGGGTTAACACACAATTAGGGGAATGGAGTTAGCACCTGTAAAACGGCTCGGCTCGGCCTCCCCGGAGAGTTAATAAACAAAGAAAGGCCCAAGTTTGTGCCTTACCTCGGCATTCCTCCCTCCGCGAGTCAATAGCGCGGCGGGGTCTCGGGCGGGGTGGGGTGGGGCGGGGCGGGGCGGGCCTTTCCCCTAATTAGGAATTCGCATACGCGCTTGACGACCCGTGCGCGACGCGGCGCTGAATATTTGGCAGGCGCGAATTTCTGGCGCGCCGTCATGAAGTGCATCTTCATCTCCGGCGTCGTCGGCGCCGCGTCCCGCAGTGCCGTGGCAGTGCCGCGGTGGCGGTGCTGTTGTTGGTGCCGCGGGCCGCGCAGGGAGCAGGCAGCGGCGGCACCCGGCACCCCTTCCTCTCACCACCGCCCCGCCCCGCCCCGCCCCGGAGCCCCGCCTTGGGCGCTAAGCGAGTTGTCGGCCCATTTCGGAATCCGATTATTTCGCATTACACAAGGCCGTGACTCTGGCGGGGCGGGGCGGGGCGCTGCGCTTGCTGCGCCAGCAAAAGCGCCGGGCTTTACATCAAGGAGGACAAGGAAGACAAGGCGGCGGGGCGGCGAGCGCCTGGCGGGTAGGCAAGCCGCCCGGAGCGCGGCGCACCCGTGCCTCGGCGCGGCCTACCTCGCAGGCGTTGACGCCGACGGCTGCCGACGGCCAGGTCCTCTTGCTCCGCCCCGGCCGCTCTGCCCCGCCTGTGCCGGCCCAGCACGGTCCGCAAACTGGATAGCCTTCAAGTGCAACTATTCATGCCTCCATCATTACCCCTTTTCCCCTTATCACCCCCGCCAGCCTCGCCAGCACGGACCACGGGCCTGCCGACGTCGGCGCCCCTCCCCCTCCCCCCACCGCCACCACCCCGCCGCCGTCGCGTCGCCGTCCTGAAAGGAGAAAGGGTGCGTGACAAATGAAAGCCTCTCTGGCGCGGCGTGGCGCGGCGTGCCGCCAGTGTGCAAGGTGGGCCGCCGCCCCCGCCGCTGCCCTCCCACAAAGAGTCCACACGAGCGCCTCATAGGCGTGGAGCACAACTTCAAGGACCTGCCCCCCCCCCCCCCCATTCCCTCCGGCACGACGATATCGCCGCGTCCCAGAGGCGAGTCGCGGCCAAATTTTGCCGCCGGATTTTAAATCTTCGCGCGCGCCTGCCGAGCGCCGCTGCGTACTTCCCTTTCTTCTGGTTTATGGCTCATGAATAATTGATCGAATTACACAATTTTCCGTAACAGGCCGGACACGCCGGCGACTCGGTTTCCCGTGGCGCCTCCTCGAATGCGTGCTGTGTGCGGCGAGCGGCCCCACAGTGACCTTGCGTTTTAAAGCGCCGGGGAGGCCCACAGAGATGTGGGAGGGGAAGGGGAAGGGGGCTCCGCAAATCTCCCTCTATTATTCAGACCCCGCTTTGGGATCGTATAATACGCATCGCTGGAAGAGCACGCGAAAAAAATCCTTCGTCCGTAATGACACCGTGGGGGACTGGCTGGCACGCCGGGAAAGGCTTCACACACACACGCACACACACACACTCACGCGAACAAGCGCGCACACAGACAGGCACGGCCGCTCGCACAGTGTTTTCCCGGCCGTTCAGCCCAACCTCTGTCGGTCCCTCGCAGCCCCACTCTCTACAATGTTGCCTGTAACGCCTTTCCAAGTGTCGGGACGGTGTCCTCGCTGCGTCTGGCGCGCCACTCGCGGTCGCCCCGCCCCGCCCCGCCCCACCCCGCCCCGCCCCGCCCGGCGCTGAGCCTTGAAGGCGCCAGCGCGATGCTGGATGCTGGATTCTGAAACCGTGTAATAATTCATTTCGATTTTTTTCCCTCCCCCCGCAGTGGCTTTTGTGCGCCTCGGCGCCACGCTCTCTCCGCGGGAACCGAGTCGCCGTGTTAT